TACAATACTGTCTAAAGCCTGAAAACTATTATGTACATAATATTACAACAACAATGTTACATATACATAATCAAGAAGCAGTAATATACATACAATGTATATCAAAATACTCTGGTGTGCCAAGTGGTCCATTAATCATCCATCACTTAATATAATCAACATTATCCATATATCTCAATATTCTATGCTGAACATAAAATACTCAATTTATACAAAAAGGGTATTTACATCATAAATACAATACACAAATACATTGTTTATAAACTTACCAAGTAATGGACCTGCTCACACAAACAACAATCTCTCCCGTGAACTGTGTATACCCTTCAACTGTTAAACTGCAATCAAAATAAGAATCATGTGCACAGGTTTCAGGAATGTGACACTGTTCAGATGTTATATTATTATTAATAATTGTTAGAGTAAATACTGCTATTTTGAAGTACATGTACAATCGCTTTATGTCAATAAACAAAATATGTCACAGACGCTTACAGAAAGCATTTACTTAAATGCTAACAACTCCACATGAAGAATAAAGTATACTGCATATATGAATACATTAAACAAATAAAATACATACCAAAGTAACCCACAAATAGTTAAAACATTTCCATTCCAAAATAAATCAACATGTCTTCCACAATTATCAAACACCGCGCTCTACTTGAGTCAGTAGTTTTATCAACCAATCAGAATGGAGATAAAACCAAGGTTGAAGATAACTAAATAAATAATGAATAGGGCTTAGACCACTTAATAAGACCCTGCCACAACAGCACCTTCGGATGCCTGATATTTATGATTTTCAAGAGTAAGGTAGTTAAAGCGCCTGAATGACAGCTATCAGATAAAGACAGCTTCTACGAGTTTTCGAATTATATGGCATTCAGCGCTACAGGGGGCCATTTAAGTTATATGCCTTAAGGTGTAGATCAAATATGTTGTCGATAAATTATAAAGCGGCTGACCATTAACAAATAAGCCAGATTATCGCAAGCTCTTGTTCTTCATTAAAGGGTTGCTGCGGTAAAGGAGTTCTGTCGTAAAGAAGTTAAGTTGTCGTAATCTCCCCTTTTTTTGACGACGGGACATTTTTACTTATAATATCAATGGTTCCATACACTATAAATCGGACATGATAATTATTACAGATCCACTTGTGTACATAGTGCAGCCTCAAACATTCTAATGTAAGACATTGATTGACATACATATATAACATATATGTGTCAATACCAATCTAAAATGAGTGAGTAAGTGAGTGAGTGAATGAATGAAAATGAATGAATGAATGAATGAATGAATGAACTTAACAAACTTTCAGTGAGTGAGTGAGTGAGTGAGTGAGTGAGTTGGTGGGTTGGTGAGTTGGTGAGTGAGTGAGTGAGTGAGTGACTGAGTGAGTGAGTTAGTGTATGAATCAATGAATCAATGATGAATGAATCAATGAATAAATGAACTTAACAATCTTTTAAGAGCTAATTTTCTTCATAAAGTGTATGCAAAATTAACGGCTAAATGGTCCACATTCTATTTATTTTTGTGTGATATATCAAAAGAGGGTCATTTTTGTTTTTCACACCATGCAATGGAATCTCAATCTGATTAAAGGGTAATAAAAATTAATTGATTGATCTGAACTTCTGATACGTAATATGTTAAGTAATTAATGTCATGTGATAATAATGCTTTCACAAGTTTTTGGGGCCAATCAGATATGTCAATGTCATTTTGCAGTACAATCAATTTATTAGCCGAATGATAATTCCTTTATTCATTGCAGACAGTATAAAATAAATAACAATTTTATTGCAAAATATCAATTTTCTCTATATATCTACCTTATCAGCATTTTCACTTTATATTTTAGTGGTCAGCATTTGCTCGCATGAATGAAGGTTAAATTTGCTGACCATATAAAAGAATAGTTTTACGGACTTAATATTAAATTCATCAGCATGTTATTTTTTTTTACTACATTTAATCGTTGACATGACTTAATACAATATATTAGCTTTGCAGACAATATAAAATGAATAACTATTTCACGGCAAAATATCAATTTTCTCTATTTATCTTTATGGTCAGCATTTTCTCGCCTGCATGTAAAGAGAGTAAATTTGCCGAACATATAGAATAGAAGTTTTACGGCCTTAAATAAATTTGAATAAATATTTAGCTGATCAGCAGTTTTTCACAAATTTAAATGGTCGGTATGATTTTATACAATTTATTTTCCTGAATGTAAACAGCGTTAAATTAATTATTTAATGAACTAAACAAAGAAATAATCTTTTTAGAGCTAATTCCCTTCATAAACTGCTTGTAAATTTACGGCTTAATGGTCCACAATTTTTGTGTGTGTGATATATCCAAAGAGGGTCATTTGTGTTATTCACACCATGCAATGCAATCTCAATCTGATTAAAGGGTAAGGAATCTTAATTGATCGACCTGAACTTCTGTTATGTAACATGTTTAGTAATTTATGACCTGTGATCATAATGTTTTTCCAAGGTTTTGGGGTGAGAACATACATTGGGGGTTAATCAGATATGTCATTGATTCATTTTGCAATCCTATCAATTTTTTAGCCGAATGAGAATTCCTTTATTCATTGGTAATTGAAAATAAGAACAGCATAAGCTAAACCCCGCCCAATTTTACAGCCAAATGATTGTTACGGTCAAAGAAATATAAGGTAATCATCAAATGAATGAATGAATGAGTAAGTGAGTGAGTGAGAAATTGAGTGAGTGAATGAGTGGGTGGATGGGGTTCAGTAGAGTGGGAGGGCGGCCGTAGGTCGGTCGGTCGGTAGGTCTGTCAGTCAGTCAGTCAGTGAATGAATGAATAAATAAATGAATGAATGAATGAATGAATGAATGAATGAATGAATGAATGAATTATGTTTATTGTTTTTGTCCGCTGCCATATGAATGCATCTGCGTTTATAATAGGCAAATTGAGAATGACACGTGTGAAAATTCTTTAAATTGTTATGACCTTGGGGCAAGTCAATCTCGATATTGTGTATTTTGTAGGTGCGAACAGATAACAAGGAAGTTTTACGCCCAATTTTCATTTTTCTGTTGATAGTGAAACACACACAAACAAAAGTTCTAGGTCTTCAATAAACAAGGAAAACATAAGTGGGGAAATTATCTCCCCTTGACGTAATCCAATCAAAATATCAAAAAAAAATCAGAATAGTTACCACAGGACTTAACACAAGATTTAACAGAGCTATACATACTTCTTATTATTCTTAATAATTTACCATTCAAACCAGCATAATACATCTTAAACCAAAGTGCATTCCTGTATATAGAACCAAACAGCGTTTTAAATAAATAAAAGCACAATACAATCTTTTATTCTGGTTCAAATATTTTTCAATTATAGAATGCAATATAAAAACAGCTTCTGTAGTCGAACTACCTTTTTAAAACCAAACTGCGCATCAGAGATAACATTATTTTCATCACACCATTTAGTTATTCTTTGATTTAAAATACTAGTAAACAATTTACCAGTATGACTTAATAAAGTTATTCCTCTGTAATTTTGTACATTTTCTTTATTTCTATTTTTATGAAATGGTATTATACAACCTCTCGTCCAGGTTTCGGAAAAACGCAAGGTTCTAAAATATTGTTAAATAGCTCTGTTATATCTCCATACAAAATATCGCTTGCTTCTACAAAATATCCGTTTAAAAGATTATTTTCCCCTTTCGTTTTATTTCTTTTAAGCATAAAAATTGCCTTAAGTACTTCCTGTAAAGTAATATTTCCATCTAATTCAGAAAAAAACAGGGTTAAAATCATTAAAATCATGGACATTGTTAAAATCTTCTGCTCTTTCATTCAAGGAAAAATTTACTTGAGAGAACATAGTTTCAAAATATGTTTTAAAATCGTGCAAAGGTATTTCACAATTATTACGTCCCTGTTTCTTTTTAAAATAGCGCCAAAAATCACGTGGTTTACTCTTTTTTAAATTTTCAAATTTTTTAGTTTGTTGCCATTTAAAAGAACGACGTTTTTTCTTAACAACATATTTATACCTAGCTTTACGTTGAACTAATTCTAATCTATCAGTCTCTGTGCGTGACATATTAAACTGTTTTAATGCATTTTTGTACAATTGTTTTGTTTCCCTACAATCTAAATCAAACCATTTACAGGAATAATCAATTTCAGTAACATCAAATCTTGGAAATGTACAACCATGTTTTAAAAAAAGAGGATCTGCCACTTCTCTCACAGCACTTGTGAATAAATTCACCGTATTATTTACACTATTTACATCATTTACATTACATTTCAATAATATATCATTTAAAACAGGCAATTTTGCTATAATTCCAGAACGATATAATTCTTTATCATTATCACTCCATTTAATATACTCGTAATTAAATACTTTTGAACCATTTGCGTTAACCGAGTTACACAAAATGTCAAAATTTAAGGCTGCATGGTCGCTGAATTCATTAAAATTACATACATGAAAATTGTTTATCATTTCAAAATCTTTTTCACACAATAATAAATAATCTATTAAGCTAGCACCATTATAATTATAGCATGTAAAAACACCTTTCCCGAAATCGTCACCTAAGCGGCCGTTTGCTATTCTAAGGGAGGTAGCTTTACACATGTCAATTAATCTATTACCATATGAGTTACTCCCCTTGTCCATTGAAAATCTTGGCAAGGGTGTATCAATAAAATAATCATCTGAGTCGATGTCGGGCACAAATTGATCACATAATATATAGTCATGTTTGCATGATGTCCTTGCATTACAATCTCCTGAAACTAACACCGTGCCTTTCGACTTAAAATGTTCCATATCATTTTGTAAACAGTCGAACAAATCTATATCTATCAAATTTACAATGGGTGAATTTTCTCCCCATAAATAAACTGCAGCTAGGTAAATGTCAGAAGCATTATTAAAGAAATATTTATCAAATTTTAACCAAATAATTGTGTGACCAGGTGGGCTCCAGCCCTAATAATAAGAATTGGACCTAACTGGCCCCAGCCAGCAATAATTCAGTAGACCTGGGTTCTGATATAACAACACCTGATTTGGTTCTATTCTGTATATATTTTCAAAGCCCTGTAAATAAACAATAACTATTATATCATATTGCAATAAATAAAGATTAACATATCATATATGTCTGTCTATAAATGATTTCAATGAATATATCAATAGTCATACTTTAAATACTCTTGTGGTCAAGTCAGCCCTAGCCTTAAGTCAAAATAAGTAAGAACAATCATATTAATAACCTAAAATGAATTTATATAAACAATGTACAGAATAGCATATTTACCAATTGTGGATCAGGTCTTCATACATACAAGAATACAAACAACTTATATCAATCTCATCAGCTCATCAATTCTTCTGGCTCACACAGTGCTCTAACTGTAAATGGTTAAATAACATTTGTGATAATAAAGGATAGTAAATAGTGGTTGCACCAATTACCAAATTATTAGATATATAGGCAGCCATCTTGATTACAATGTACATGTCAAATATACATGTTAACTCAAATAATGACTTAATTCAAATAAAGCATTGCTCATTTGTGACTCAAAAGATACAAATCTGAAGCAAAACAAAACCAACTAACCTAAATCCTCAATTTCCAGGAATAATCAATAATAATTAAAATAGAGATAAATGTAAAGAAGAAATGTATAATTCTACAACTTCTCACAATGAAATCTGACCTGAGAGTGGTCACAATGTCACATGACAGCAATTATATTTAAAAACAGCGGGAAACCCAATGCTTGAATAATCCTTCAAATTTACAATCAAAGGGAAGTAATATACAACTCCAATTAAAATGCGAAAAGGTTAAAATAAACGAAAAGACCAAAAACACTAACTGGTTACAATTGTGTCATGTATATTTTTTACTATTGAAATACCATCTTTAACATTATTCCTAAGATACACAACAATACCATCGCTATTTCTTTTATAAGTGAAGATTTAATTCAATTCTTACAATCTTATTTGCAAGTAATACAATTTTATAAGACTTAGTTATGATCTTATTTTCGTAATCGCCATCTTGGGTTATTTTCGCATGCCTTCTTTCTATACTATTTATATACTATTTGGGAAATTACTATATATGCCGCACAAACGTCTAATATTTCATTACAAAATACTCCATTCTTTATTATTTCATTCATACAAATCATTTAATAACAACAAAAATACGTTTTCAATACATTTTATCAAAAATAAATCTTATTTTCGTAGACCCGATATTATTTTCGCTTTAAAATATTTTCGCACGAAAAGTATTTTCGGCTCAAACTTCACTTTTTAAATATTTGTTTGGTTCTGAAATTTTAATTTGCTGTAAAATCATTCAATGAATGCATAAATATATATTTTACATAATTATTTCAACAGATAAATGCACTTATTTTCGTAGCCGCGATCTTATTTTCGCGACAATAGCTTATTTTCGGTATCCATCTATACCGAACAGGGAGATTAAATCTTCCTGCAGGGTAAACACTCTCGATTTACAATGTATTTCACACCTTTGGATATTTCCGGTTTTTGGAGGTAAAATTGTATTGATTTGACTCTAATTTTACGAAAATATCGTCCGGAATTCAGAATTTAGAAGTTCCGGAATTCAGAAGTATTATATTAATAGAAAATAGAAGGGAAAAATCGGGACCGAAAAAATTGTTCGGTTTATAGAAGTTTCCGGATTTCAGAAGTTCCGGAATTCGGAGATTGCACTGTAGTTTAAAAGAACTTGCAATTATTCCATTAAATAATTAAATGTCCGGCTCATCACAATTGATGAAAAAGAAAAAAATCCTCTTATTGATTATTGAATTTTATTTCAGATTTGCACTAAATACGAAAAAATCATTATTATATTTGAAACAAATTATGATATTCTTTTTATGTAAGATCACCATATTATGGCTACATTATCTAAATTTTAACAATATATATCACATAGAAGACATAGAAGACAATTCATTAACATACTGAAATAAAATATTTTATCAATAGAAATTGAGAAATATATCAAATAATATTTATAATATTATATACATATTAACCTCCAATTGAAATCATGTTCATTCCTTTTAATTTGGAATTAATTCCAATAGGATCTATTTCCAATTAAAAATATTGAAAAAAAAACTCCAATTGGAATAATGTCCAGATGGGGTTTATTCCAATCGGATTTTTTTCCAGTTAAATTTAATGGAAAAAATCCGATCAGAATTTCCAAAAAATGCTTAAATACACGTTGTCAACAAGAAAATGCATACTTATACATATTAAGCATGTGTTTATGTATTTCAACAATTTCAGAAAAATTGAAAATCCCGTTGTATAAATAAAAATGTTGGAAAAAATTCCAATTGGAATTTAAATAATTCCGCCCGGACAGCATAATTCCGGGCGGAATACATAAAATTCCGCCCGGACAAATTATTTAAAATAAAATTTTTGATACGAAAAAAATTAAAAACAGCATTAAATGAAGTCAATTATTTATAATTAACCTGAAATATATCATATGAAATGATTTTTTAAGGGTTTAGGGCAAGTATAAATGGTAGTGAAGTTTGCCACAATCCCGGTGGTGCAAAGATTTTCCGGTGGCTTTTTTTGTTTAAAGTAAATACTTAAGGATTGAAGAAGAAGAAAATAAAATGTGTTCTTTTAGCGCTAAATTTGTCAAAAAAGTAAAAAAAAACTAATGATCTTAGCATAGACAAAAATTTATCACGTTCTTTAAGCGCTATATATAGAAAAGTTGCTAAATTCTTTATTGTACCAACATCTTGAGTTGACATCATATTATAATAGTTTATATATGGAGAATATTTCCAGAAATAATCATACATGTACGTGTGATAGATGTACGTGTGTCTTATATTAGACTAAAGTGGACAAATAAGTACAAAATGGTACTAATTTTCTTGTACAAATTCACAAATTGAGCAATATCTAAACAACTAAATCGCCCAGGTTAAAAAAAAAAAAACAGTTTAAAAAAACAATGAGATGAAGAACAAAAGTTTGCTAAAACACATCTTATTTTTAATATCCAGACCATTAACATATTTTGCAGGTTAATACTATTTTTAACATGAATATAAAACATCCATTTCACATTTAATGAACATTTTGACATCCAATTTTGAACATACTGGTCTTTTAATCTATTGACATATACTGGACAAAAATAAAATTGGCTGATCCACACATTGCATTTCCCAAATATATCCAAAACCGTTTTGATACAAGTTAGTTCTAACTACAGTTACTTAATCTTTATGACCAATGTTATCAAAATATCTTAACATATTATAACAAATTTTAACATATCTAGAAGTGTGCATATTAATAATACGTATGCGATATTTCACAAATTTTCACAAAATTTCACAATACGTTTATAAACCAGTATATACATAGGGTAACGACCCAAATCCCCTAAAACTGAATCATTGCAAGATGTTCTCTTTACATAAAGAAATCGTTTACATGCATATTTATTGATATTTTCAGTGCAAGATATGTTACCCGTTCCCCATATTTCGCAGCCATACAATAATACTGGACTAACCTTAACATCAAATATGTTGGAGAATGTTTGATAGGGTTTACATCCTAAATTATTTAACGATCTGACTATATTATTAGATACTTTCTTAGCTTTAATCGCCTTGCCCTCTGCCATTTTGTATAAACATAAGCCATTAGTAAAATACAAACCAACATATGAAAACTCATTAACTATAACAACATTTATGTTATCATAAACCCAAGATTATCTAGCAGTTATTCTACCGCCTCGTTTGAAAACGACTATTTAAGTTTTTTAAACATTTACATATATCTTAAAATCAGTACAGAATGCATAAAGTCATAAAGTAAATTCAATTGTTTGTGCAGACCAACTACAGTGTCTGATCGTCTGCAAAAAAAGAAGCATAAATATTTCAGTTATATCAGGGTATAACTGTATCCCTTTAACATTATTACGACAAAAATGTGTAAATCTCATCTATAAATAGACAGAACAGAACGGGGCTTAAGGTAGGCACTTGTTTTAGGCCTATAGGGTATCTAAAAATATCAGTGAGACCATCTTGTGCTTTAACACAAGCCGATACACTGAAATAATTGATCGATAGAGATTGCCTGAAATATTATTTTGACGAAGAAAAGAAAACAATATATCAAAAGCTTTCTGGAAGTCAATAAAAGCAACATATATAGGTTTCTTTTTCTGATTCAAGTACTTATTTATAATTGTGGATACAATGAAGGCATTGTCAGTTTTTGAGTATCCAGACTTTAATCCTGCTGTGATTCTGTTAAAAGTTAAAATGCTTCAACATAAAATGTAACACGTTTAGTAATAATGAATAAATAAATTTTACTTATAATATATATTTAGGCAATACTTCTGTAGTTGTTGGGGGAGTTTTTCTATCCCTTTTTGTTTACAGAAATAATAATAGACAAAGACCATTTTTTCTGGAATTACCTTGTTTTAAATAACCTATAAAAAGTTTCAACAAAAAATGAAGCTATGCGTTTATTCTATATCTAAATGTTCAGGAATTAATATCCCATCTGTTGCCTTATAAACATTTAAGTTTTGAACAGCATATAATATTTCATTAGTAATTATTTCAGAATTGAATAAAGAATACTCAATATCATTGATATCATACTGGTCATTTGAATCATGAACCTGTGAACTTGCTCTTGGAGCTGCAAACAAAATGTGCTTTTAAAGGCAAGAAAATAAACGCATATCGAAACATAATATTGTATTAAAGTATGATTAGCATGATGATAGAATCATATAATCATAAACCATCAAGTGAATGTAAAAATAACATTGATGATAAAGATAACAATCATTTTAGAATTTAATGTAATTTTCTGTTATAGCATTTCATCTTCTTAAAAATCATTTCAGTTCATAATATTAAATGTCCGTAAATACGCCGAAGTTTTGTTGTTATATATTTCTGGTGCATAATTTTCACATAGTTATGATATGATAATAAACAGTATTGTTGTTATATCCTGTAATTTGAGGCAATTCTTTATCAAGTTTTTTTTAAAAGATATGATGCCTGAACGACAGCATCTTCGCTAGAAGAAGCAAATATTAAATGTTCAAGACTATGCGTCCATGTATTATGATAATTTGATAACTTAAGCTGCTTATTATCAATGAATACAAGAGGAATATTCATATTCACATATACTGAACCAAAAAAGAAACTTTCGCAAAGTATGTGCCAGTTGTCCAAGGGTACCACTTAGATGTACACACATATATACATGTAGTAGCTTGTAAAACTCGTTTTGTTTGCAAAATCGGTCAGCTAATCCCCGTTTAAAAGCCCGATATGTTTATTCAACGTAAAAAATCGAGTTTCGAAATGATTGAAAAACTGTACTAACATATCTACATTTAAACTTGGAGAAAGTTTCTTTTTTGTTTCAGTATATAATTAAGCCGTGAAGACGATCTGTTGCCACAACTCATCCCCTCGAGAGGAACATTATGCCATTAACTGTGATCAAATACGAGTCTTCCATTGGAGAAGTACCTTTTTGTGTTTTCTACTGTTTTCAATCTCCTATATCCATGCTGTAAATTCCCGCAGAATTTGGCGCCTTGTAGACAGGTGCTTCAGCATCGGTTCGCTTTATCCACAGTATGTCTTGAATCGGATCCATAAATCGTTTGACCGGTCCTATTTGAAAGGCAATATCTGGGGAAAGCAAAGATCGAACGTCTGGGAACAATGTTTTAC